AAGTTCACAAAACATCTATATTTCCATGATTAACCAGCCTGGGCCATAGATATAGACATCAAATGGCATCCTCCTGGGTTGCCGCCTCTCGTGCACCTGCGGGTGGGGGGGGGGGGCATGCAGCAGTGAGATCTGGCACAGGATGTGTCCTTGGAGACAGCTGTTGACTGATCTGTGTACTGCCCGTTGCCAATACCATGTGACCACTGTGACCAATCACAGCAGGTCACATGACAATTGTAAACCATGGATGACAATCTTTCATGTCATCCATTGTATGCAATTGTGTTGCTGGCTTTGATTGGTCACAGTGATCACATGGTACAGACTGGGCCAATCACAGCCCATCTGTGTCATGAGATTAGCTATGGCCAATCACAACTAATCACAACAAAACAAATTGAATTAATTGATTTAATTCAGAAAAATGCTTGTTTATAGCAATGAAATTCATTGTGTAAAATAAAATACTGATCACTTCCCCAGAGTAGTACTAATGTTACTATGGTAACATTATATTACCCTGGTCACAGTGTGTTATTAAAAAAATCATAACAAAAGAAAAAATGTAATAAAACAAAAAAATATATTTTTTGTAATTTCCTAATTTTTCAAAAAATGATGACAAAAAAGTACAACTTCAAAAATCTTCAAAACTTAAAAAAATGCCTCTTACTAAATACCTCAGACTGTCTATTTTCCAAAAAGGGGTAATTGGGGGATATTTATCCTGTCCTGACATTTTTGGGCCTGAAGAAATGAGGCCAATACAGCAGGATTGATCAATTTTCAGATATATATAATAGTTTGTAGACTCCATAACTTTCCTACAGACTAAACCATATACACCCATTTACGTTATTTTCTGCAAATAAATGTAGCAGAATACATTTTGGCCTAAATTTGTGTAGAAAGATTATTTATTTGCAAAATGTAACAGCAAAAACATTTGGTCTTTTCACCCAGTGGTGATCAAATACCATCAAACGAAAGTCTATTTGTGTGAACAAAATGATAAAAATTTAGTTTGCGTATAGTGTTGCATGACCACACAATAGTCATTCAAAATGAGAGAGCGCTGAAACCTGAAAATTGGCCTGGGCAAGAAGGGAGTAAAAGTGACCAGTATTGAAGTGGTTAAACACCCAAGATGCACATGAAAATCATCCTGCCAATATTGTGCTGATGAAGTAGAAATCAAAAACACCCAGTGACTAATCCCTTAGGAGAGCAGTTTACAGTTACAATTGACCCCCAAGATTAATGAAAGATCTGAAGGTACTTTGGTATAATCCACTCCAGACTGCCATCCTCATATATGAATTTGGATCACAGATGAATACATCAAGATGGATGCATGAAATATGCATGAAATACTGTTTAAAAGCATTTTATTAAAAACTAGAAAGGTACACTCACATAGGCAGAGTCAGCATGTCACAAAATTCTATTGACTCACTCCACTGTCAGAAACCAGGCACTCTCATAGCTCATAAATGTCCAAGCATAATAATGAAAATGGGAGTTGCTTCTGAATGACTTCCTCAAGATCAGTCCTTTTTGGCATTTAATATGTTTATAATTACATTTGATTAAGTAGGTGCTCCTTTTCTATTGACTTGAATTGACATTGCATGTATATTATTTATATGCTTGCTTCCAATTTATCTTTAATTATTAGTTCTCGTTATTTTTAATGTTTATTGTTTTGGTACAGCACATTCAATTGGTATTTAAATAGTTACATAAAATAAATTATGATTGTTTCTTTTCTGGCCATCATTAGTATTAGTTTAGTATCATCATTATTAATGTATAGAGAAGAGGGGTGTTAAATAAAATCTGCCCTGAGTTTCAAATGTGATAGGTATTGCCACTGCTTGAAGGTAATATGCTGTTTATATTATGCCATTGTTAATACTATTTGATGGATCAGCTAGTGCAGTATGTGATAATGGTGTGTGTTACAATATCCTTGGTATTGCAGTGTGTAATATGTTGATTATTTCTAGATATAATATGCTGGGCATAACATATTAGTGATTATTAAATTTATTGTGTTGGTAACTATACTGCATTATATAATATTGCTGCTTCTTATTACGTTGTTGATTTAATTGTGTTCAATCACTTGACTATGTTTTGTGATCTATTACGGAGGGGGGGTGCGCCAAAAAATCTTGTACAGTTCATTATTTAACCAACTACCTCCCATTGTTAAGGTTGCCTACTTAAGCCTGGAATATTGTAACAATTCATTGATTATTGCCTGTATATTTTAATTACAGACTGTTATCTCCTTTAATTGTAACAGCTGACCATTTCTTGCTTGCAATATTTAGCAATTGCCTGTTTTTGCTTGTGTATTGTAGCAAGCAACAGCTATCAACACCAAACCACACCCTTAAAAACCTAAATATATTGGCCTTACATACAAATCACCCTCGCTAAATTGCCATTATTCCAACAGATAGCCACAGCACTCTAGGCAAGTTGTTATCAGTCTCCTGGGAGGGAGGAGAAAGGGAGACCAGTGGGGTGTGGCCAGCTGCATAATTGTCATGGTTTCATGGTAGGTGCTTTCAATGGGTGATTCCATGATATATTTATTACAATGCCATGCTCTCTAGAGCAGGCAGAAAAGGCACCAGGGGCAAATTGAGCAATGCAGTTGGGGTCATGTACCATCGGCAAAGCACCTTGTAGCAGTTTTCTTGATCTAATATATTAGCTTAGCATTTTGCTTTAGTGATCCAGATTTTGCTCCAGTAGGTTATGTCTAATGCCCCGTACACACGATAAGAAAATCATCTGAAAAATTTCATGGAACCACTGATCGAACTATTTTCTCTTCATTTATGAGCAGGATGTTTTAACTGATAATGATATTGTGAACAAAAAAATCCGGTTGAACAACAGTGAAAAATGTTGACGTTTTGCATACAAACGACCGATTTTCTATGAGGTGGTAAGACGGTCGTACGAAAAAAATCTATCAAGCACTATCACACAGGAACGGAAACAGGTGACCCGGATGTTTGTGTCCAAGGAATCTTTGTAAACACTAACGAAAAATATCCAATATTAAAAATAGATTGGCATAAATGATGGAGGCTCGGGGTTTGGTGATATATCTCCAGAGGTTAGGAGAAACAGGAGGGTGAGGGAGGTAATATGGGAGTGTGATTTATATGAGGGGACTTGCCTCAGTGTCCTGGAGGTTTTATTAGCATGTGGATTTAGAATTAGCAATAGTTGGTGAGTGTAGTAATATGGAGAGGACAGAAGGGAAGGTGATGTATATAAGCTGTGGGGTGGAGAAAAGGGGTGAAGGAAGAAGAGTTTAAGGAGAGAGTACACAACTGTCAGAAGGCATGTTAGAGAGTGCATGATACAGCGAGGAAAGAAAGCTGAATAGCAAGAGGTTCACTTGCCATGAAGAGGCTCTGCAGCTTACGCATGTGTTTGCAAATGTGTGCTAACTAAACCCCTGTTTTTACGCATACTGTTGGGCTAATTCAGTTTGCTTGCAAGCTGGTTGATAAGTTGAGCTGGGAATTTTTCTCTTTTATTTTTTGACATATGTTGCCCTTCCATGTGCTCCTTGCTGTGAAGGCTAGTTATGGACTGGGGCAGTGGCCATTTCTTGTACTGTTTACTTGTGGGTGAGGGGGTGCACTGGACACCTTGGCTGCCATTGTGCTATATGCTGGGTGCCCAGTGCGCTCCTGTATCTTTAAGAAGGGGTGCGCTCCCCCAGTCTATCCATTAAATACATGTGCCTCTACTATGGGGGATCTCTAAATATGTAGAGGTAGGAACTGCAGAATATCAGGGTGCCGTGAAGAGGCTCTCCAGACTGCGCATGTGTTTGCAAGCTTGTTGGTAAGTTAGACCTGGGAATTTTTCTCTTATTGTTTGACATGCATCGCCCTTTCATGTGCTCCTTGTTGTGAAGGCCAGTTATAGACTGGGGCAGTGGCCATTTCTTGTACTGGTCACTTGCCGACTGATTGGTGCTTTTCAATGCAGTTAGCAATGTATGTCCGTGTCGTGTGATCGCTAAAGTGCAGAGCATGAAGTGCATATTACTTGTATAAAGAATCACTTCTAGAAAGAATCGCTAAAGAACCCCAGCACCATTCCCCCTAGCAAAGTGCCCACTAGCAAAGATTATAAACATTCTGGGTTTATATATTTATTTAATGATATATGTATTTATACTATACCATTTGTATCATTTACATTCAATAGATACTGTGAGTCTGTTTGTAATGGTTTCAAGAATGTTAGATAAAATCTTTGTCAGGGGCAAAGACATTTTGACTTTTAAGGCACCACATGGGAAACTAAAGTAACATCACTGATATTTCTTTAAAAGAATCCACACAAGGTGCATGCTTTGACAAAGTTTCCCTGACATAAAAAATGGGTAGGGCAAAGCATAATGATGTCAGTGTTTGCAGCCACCCCATGATGTGTGCTGAGATGGATGCACAAGTGGTGGGGCACCCTAGTAAATACTTGTGAGTGGCATTTTTTATTTATTACTTTTAAATAAAAATGAATTTACACCATGGAACCTTTTCTTGTTCTCTCTTTATGTTGGATGCCTTTTAGGAGTAATCTTGGAGTAAGGCATTACAACCAAATGCTGGTGAATTTGGTAATTTTGTATATGTGAGGGGATTATCCCAGAGAGAGTAGAGAAAAAACAATTTTGCACCTTTTAAAACCACTTGCCTACTATGTGCCCAGGCCAATTTTCAGCTTTCAGCACTGTCACATTTTGAATGACAATTGCGCAGTCATGCCACACTGTACCCATATGAAATTTTTATCATTTTTTAAACTCAAATAGAGCTTTCTTTCGGTGGTATTTAATCGCCACTAGGTTTTTATTTTTTGCACTATAAACAAAAGAAAAGCAAAAAAATTTGAAAAAAAACTTTTTTCTTTGTTTCTATTATACAATTTTGCAAACAGGTAATTTTTCTCCTTCAATGATGTGCGTTGATGAGGCTGCACTGATAGGCAGCACTGATGGGCACTGATGAGGTGGCATGGATAGCCAGCACTGATAAAGCAGCACTGGTGAGCATTGATGAGGAGGCACTAATGATGCTGCAATGATATGCAGCAATGATGGTCACTGTTGGGCACTGATGGGTGACACTGACGGGCGGCGCTGACTAATGGAACTGACTGGCAGGCATTGACTGATGGCACTGACTGGCGACACTGATGGGCGCAACTTCTGGGCAGCACTGATGGGTGGCACTGCTGGGAGGCACTGCTGGGCACTGCTGGGCACTGATAAGTGCCGATCTGCTCTGTGACAGCTGCTGGTTATTGGCAGTACTTTCCTCATCCTGTGACCTTTTACCTCATCACTTGGACAGCTGTGTCCGTAGAAATCCTGAAGGACCCTCTGCACACCGGTATATATCCTTTCCAGCAGACTTTGCAGTAAAGAATAGGGATATTAGTTCACACATATTACAATACATCATCATCCTGATGTTCCCCTGTTGGCGTTGAGTGATTATAACAATTGCTTACTCTCTAGCTTGGATAGATTGCCCTTGGGTGGTAGGGGCAGACAATTATCCTCTCAGCCTACCCCATTTGCTAATTTATTGGTGGAACTTGGTCTCCAAGATGTGTGGTGGATGAAGTATCCGACAGCATAATGTTACTCATGTTTTTCTGCTACTCATGATGGGCATTCACTCATAGATTTGGACCTTGGGAACACGACTATCCTGCCATATGTGTTTGATGCTGCGTATGAACCTGGGGCTCGGCCTGACCATGCCCCTTTCTGGGTCAAGCTACAGGTGTGTTATACCCGCTCTCTTCCGCTGTGGAAGGTGAACCCATTTTGGTTGACACTGTTTCCAGAGTTCGAGTTTCCGGGGGAGTTGTCAGACTTTCTGCAGCAGAATGAAGGCTTGTCCCCACCAGGAATACTTTGGGATGCGATTAAGGCCTTCCTGCTGGGCTTGATTATCCAGAAGATTTCAGAGGGTAAGCGTAGATCCAGGGAGTGGGAGGAAAAGGTACGGTTAGATTTTCAACAGTGGGAGGTTCAGATGATCCAAGACCCAAGCCCCTGTAACTATACCTCATGGAAAAGAGGCCCAAGCCCTTTATGAATCAGTGCTCACTGAGTGGCAGATAAGAAGTAATATTTTTTGCAACAAAAAATATTTTGAGGAGGGGGAAAGTACGGGGCACCTTCTTGCTCTTGTGGCGAAGTTGCAACAAGGGGTATCCACTGCAGACAAGATGAGGATGTTGGTGGAGTAATCTGCACGCGTCATGCAGAAATCCTGAGAGTTTTTCATCACTTTTACAATTATCTTATGCTTCTAAAACTATAGCTACCCATTCTGAGCTTTTGCAGTTTCTAGACACCTGCTCTTTTCCTGTCTTATCGGAGACTGACCGGAGAGAACTGGACATGCCAATTACTGTTGAAGAGTTATCTGAAGCTTTGGCAGACACCCCCTGTAATAATCAAAAATGTAAATTTACCACAAAAAATATACAGGCGGGGTGGCCTAGTAGTGAGCTCAAAGAATGCACCTTATAGCGGTGTGGGTGCTAACCAAAAAAATTTAAATAATAAAAAAGAGTTGTAGTTGCAGAATGCAAACTACCAAAGTAGGTAATAATCACCCAGGCAACGTAGCTCATATGTAAAAATCACATATTTTTATTAATCCCATGTTGGGAAAGAAAGGTGATATCCGTAGATGATGACACATACAATCACTGAACACATATTTAAAAAACAATGAAAAAATAAGCAATCCGGATGGCAATATGTATAAATTTCAGTGGTATTCACTTTAGACTGGTATGAGATTATGTGCAGCGCTGAAACGTTTCATATGAAACTATAATTAAACATATAAATCATGACCATGGACAAATAACATGATATTTATGCATATTGACTAATTGAAAAATGCAGTTGGTATGACTAAGCACATGTCATGGTATGTTATTTGCTTCCGATACGTGGGAACATCAAAAGTAAGATGCAGGTTGAAAAAAATATCCAGCTTTGGGATACGATGGAATAAAGTCATAGAATTATACAGTGTTGAAATTAAATTCACACTGTCCCATGTTCTTTTAAAAACTTTAAAGATGTGCGGTATAAATCATGAAGTATTGTTGACGATACATATGTTATCCCATGTATAGATGTTATTCCAGATAGGCCGACTAGAGAGTGTGAGGTACAGCTGATAGATAATAGAAAGACTTCAGGTGAGGTGTGTAGCAGCATATAGTGATGGTTGATAGTACACCACACTCACCACCATCAATTAACCGAAGGCCAGAATAATTCCAGGTAGTGAGACTTTCAATACACTGTGACTCTACTGCCAGGTAGTAGATAAATGATGAATAGCCAGCACAGTCCCCATCAGAATAGTGGTCAGACCTCGTATAATGGATTGCATAGTATGCAGTGTTCCCGCCATATCGGGAGTCATATTGAGTGGCGCAGCATCTGAGCATGCTCTCACCAGTCCGTGATATCAACCACGTGGGATGTTGCTTCCGGGTATGATGTTGTCAGTACATTACATTGACGTGTTTTGTCCGCCAATCGGTGCAGACTACTTCAGAATAAGGAGGAGACATTATGGCGGGTGGAAGATGGTTAAGAAGCTCTCATAGTACAATGATGGGCGCAAGGTAGTTCTCTCGTTCTCATAGGACGTCATATGATGTCCTTCCATTTTCACCGTGCATGCACGGCTCAGGGATCCCGCGCAGCGATCGCCGGTGCGCTGTGTCCCTCGGACACAGTGGATCACGGAAAGAGCCGAAGATGTCGACTCGGTCATGTGATCAGCTGTGTCCAATCCCAGCTGATCACATGTACACACAGAAATGCCGGTTATTGGCATTTCTCTCCTCTCGAGCTGTCACGCTGACAGCTGGAGAGGAGAGGAGAGCTGGTAATAGGCTTTCCTCGGAGGGGACATGTGCACTGATGATCAGTGTGCCCTGATGATCAGTGTGGCCCCAGAAGTGCCACCTGTCAGTGTCTATCAGTGCCAGCAGTCAGTGCTCATCAGTGCCACATGCCAGTGCCCATCAGTGCCACATCAATGCCACATATCAGTGCCCCTCTGAGCTGCCTTTCAATGTCTTTCATTCAATGTCACCCATCAGTGCCATTCAATGCCACCTATCAATGCCAAGTCAGTGCCGCCTATCAGTGCCAGTCAGTGCCACCTATCAGTGCCAGTCAGTGCCGCCTATCAGTGCCATATATCAGTGTCATGTATCAGTGCTGCCTTTCAGTGCCCATCAGTGATGCCTGTCAATGCCCATCAGTGCAACCTATCAGTGCCCATCAGTGCCACCTCTCAGTGTCCATCAGTGCAGCCTATCAGTGCCCATCACTGCAGCCTCATTAGCGCACATCAGTGAAGGAGAAAAATCACTTGTTTACAAAACTGTATAACAAAAACTAAGAAAAAAGCTTTTTTTTTTTTTTTTTTTCAAAATTTTCAGTGGTTTTTGGTTTAAGAAAAAATAAAAATCCCAGGGGTGATTAAATACCACCAAAAGAAAGCTATATCTGTCTAAAAAAAAAAGGATAAAAATTTCATATGGGTACAGTGTTGCATGACTGCGCAATTGTCATTCAAAGTGTAAGAGCGCTGAAAGCTGGAAATTGGCCTGAGCAGGAATGGGGTATAAGTGCCCTGTAGGCAAGTGGTTAAATACCCTATTTTCTAATTGGAAATATTACACAGTGCCCCCTAGTGACTTAAAGTCATTATAGATTGATATAGAAAATTAAAATTAACAGCATAACAATAATAATTCACCCTGCTGGCAAAGTAGTATTAGTACTAACATGGCAATCTATCAGAAATAATTGAATTCAATTTAAGAAGACCTTGAAATTAAGTTCAATATTTAAGCCTTTTGGAACAAGTGTTTCAAGAGTATATATCCAAAATTTTTCTTTCTGTAAAAGCAATTTGTCAAAATCCCCCCTTCTTGGGGAGATGTTGAGAGCAAAAATTCCTTTTACCTTCAGATCATCAGTTCGTCCATTATGGACTTCCTTAAAGTGCTGGGCTAGGGAATTTTCCCTTCCGTTATCTTTGGGCTTTTGTTTAGATCTAATATCCCTAAGGTGTTCACTTATACAAATTCTTAACTGTCGTTTAGTTTCCCTATGTAGAACTTTTTACAAGGGCATTCAATCATATAAATAACCTTGAAACTAGAGCAGTTAATAAAATTTCGAATATTATAGAGTTTAGTTCTATCTGAATTTGAAAAGTTCTTAGTTTTATCCACATGGGGGCATATTTGACAGTGTCTACAAGGGTACATACCAGTCAATATGGGTTGTCCAGTTAACCAGTTATTTATTATAGGTTTCCTATATTCAGATCTTACTAGTATATCATTTAGATTGGAGACTCTGTGTGCTCTACAAGGGGTTTTTCTCCCACTATATTGGCTATAATTGAGTTGATTGTAAGGATATGCCAGTGTTTTTGTATAGTATTCTTTACCTCTTGCCATTGTTGTCCATATTTAGTAATAAACCGAATAGGCCCTGTAAACTTTGGAACCTGTCCTTGAACCTTTGTATCAAGTTGTGTCTCCCTTTGAGCTTGCAATGCTTTTCCCTTTGCTTTCCTAAGTGTTTTATGGAAATATCCCCTATCTCTAAAACAATTATACATGGAGGTAGCTTCATGTTGGAATTGTGTTGCATTTGTACAGTTTCTCCTACAGGGATACCCCCAGTAATAAATCTCTGGGTTCAGACTGATTGCCATTAGAAATCTATAATAGATACAGTGCACAACTCCTCCCGAATTACTCAATGCCTTGTATGCTGTCATAGATGGAAATGGTTTGCCCCCCTCCATGAATGAAGCTGTTATTATAGCATTATTGAAGCCTAGAAAATATCAATTAAAACCTGACTCCTACCGACCTATTTCCCTTCTGAATATTGATGCTAAATTGTTGGCCAGGGTTCTAGCTACTAGACTGGCACGGATAATTGGTAATATCATACATAAAGATCAGTCTGGGTTTATTCCTTCTAGAGCGAGGGCTAATAATATTTGTAGACTTGTTGAATTTGTCTTTAGATGTGGCCAAGGCATTGATAGTGTGGAATGGCCTTATCTATGGGAAGTATTGTCTAGATTCGGCTTTGGTCCCAAGTTCAATAGCTATGTGCGCCTTCTCTATGTGGCCCCTAGTGCCCGAATCTGGGTTAATGGGGAATTTGTCAGATTCAGTCTGGCTGCAGAGGGGAACAAGGCAGGGCAGTCACCTCTTGCACCTTTTGTTCGCTTTGGCGTTAGAACCTTTAGCGATTTTGGTGCGACAATCTGCAGACATCGTCGGTTTTACAAGGGGTGTTCTTTCGGAAAAGATATCCCTTTATGCGGATGACACACTGTTATATTTGTGCAATACTTCCACATTCTTAGGTGCTGTTATGTCCCTTATTGAACGCTTTGGTGGATTTTCTGGCTTTAAAATTAATTGGCATAAATTGGTATTTATGCCCGTGGATCCTGCAGAACTCCCCCTCCCGGCCTGTGCACAACACATCCAAGTAGTGTCTACATTTAAGTATTTGTGGGTGGTAGTCTCTCCTGATCTTAAGCAGTATATTTCTTTTAATCTTTTACCTCTGCTCCATCATCAGAAATTGAAGTGTAACAGTTGGTGCAAACTCCCTCTGTCAGTGGTGGGTAGGGTCAATTTAATTAAAATGATTTGGGCCCGCAACTTCTTTATATTTTTCATAATTCTCCCATATGGATTCCTAAGAAATGGTTTCATCGCATAGAGACCCAGTTTAGGAGTCTTATTTGGAAAAAAACAAGCGACTAGGATAAAATTGTCCACGTTGTAAAATGGCAAGGAGTCGAGGGGTTGGCAGTTTCTGAGCCCAGACTTTATTTTCTGGCAGCCCAATTGCAGCAACTGGTTGGCTGGGATTCGCCTGATAATACTGATCCCATTATTAGTTTGATTTCCCTTCCTGATCCCACCATTCTGGCTTTCTCATCTTGAGATGGCTCTACTGATCCTTCCATCCACAGCTCCAACTGTGGAGGCGCGTCTGGAGTATGGTAAAACCGTCCTTTCATATTACCAACTTTCTTTCCTGTACTCCCTTGTGGAATAATCCATAATATGTAGAACTGGCTAAACTGAAGGCTTTTCACAACTGGAGGGATCAAGGCCTGAAATTTGTATCTCAGCTGTATTCAGGAGCAATCCTAAAGTCCTTTTCTCAACTGCAAATAGAATTTACATTTACAGATATGCATTTTTATCGTTACCTTCAGCTACACCATGCAATACAGGCTAAGTCTTCGCTCTCTAATCTCACATTAACAGACTCAGTTTTTCTTAAGGATGTCATTCAGGCAACACATAAGAAGGGCATGATTTCTTGGGTATACTCCTAGCTATTGTCCACAGTACAGGATCAAGATAGTCTCCGGAGTAGGGCGCAGTGGTCCCGGGATATTGCGGAGTTTGCTGGAGATGTCTGGGATGCTGCCCTGGAATCTGTTCTGGGAATTTCTTTCTTCCTCTCATAAATTGTCTCAATTGTTTATTCTCCATCAAGCGTGTAGGACCCCTGTGCAGCTGTATCGGTAGGGCAGGCAGGATTCACCTGATGGTCAAAGGTGTAGGGTCCAACAGGGTGATTTCATTCATATGCTCTGGCGTTGCCCCAAGTTACATAGATATTGGAGTGAGGTTCTCCAATTTATTTCTCTAGTATCACAATATACTGTTCCCCTGGATCCCTTGCAATGTCTGTTGGGGGCACTGGTCCAAAAACTGTTCCAACCAGGAGGGTATATCATGGTATCTAGACTTTTATATCTGGCTAGAAAGCTGATAGCAAGGTACTGGTTATCATCGGCTCCTCCGACTAGTAAGCAATGGATAGGTTATGTTAATTCTTCACTCCCACAAGAGAAACTAATGGACCAACATCCCAATGCTTATCGTAAGTTATAGCAGGTGTGGCAGGGTTGGTTGGATACACCTGGGCTCGCCCCTCCTCAATTGATAGCAGACAGACTTTTGCAGGTGTGATATTTTATATCAGGTGTGTGGCTCCACTCCTCCCCCTGGGGGAGTTCATAATAAAACGTAAAAAGGAAAAAGCAAGGTATTGTCAAAAAAGTTTTGGATCCTTGTGGTCTCTGTTTTGTTTGATTATCATTTCTGTTATTCTGTTTATAACGGGATCTGTGTATCCACGTTGTTCTGTTTATGTGTAATCCTGCTGTTGCAGTAATGTCATTGTGGATTCTGTAAGTACTGTTCCATTTTCTCTATTATCTTGACAATAAAATATACCTTGACAATAAAAGTTGTTTGTATTAAAAAAAAAAAAGAACTAGATCTAGAATACCAGAAGCCTAGGGCTGGATGTGACGTCCCTCAGGAACCGCTTCAAGACATTTCACCAAACATAGCGTCTTCAGGAAATTCCATACCGCTATATTACCAGAGATTTTATAGTGCCAATCTTTTTCTAATTGGTGGGCTTCTTAGAAATGGCCATGGTTTCAGCTGTGTACTCTATTTTGATTTACAGAACAAATTCTTACAATATACTAAAACAATTAAAAACCATCTAATAGTAATTCCCAACTAACCCAAATATTTCTTATATTATCTACTATTCTATCATGCTTTATTTTCTACCCCTGATAAAAAAAATCCAGTTTATTCTATATTCTGTTAGTCCTTATATGAATTACTAGATTATGCATTAATCCAATTTTTTATTGGAATATAAGAAAAAAAAAAATATAAATAAAATACACTGTTAATAATTGTATAACCAACAGTATTATATTTTGAGGTTTTACTAAGTATACTAAGCTCTATTATTGGACATTCTTTATATGTTCTCATAGATTCCCATACCTTTGCCATCTAGTGGTCAAAAATATAATTACACCCATTCTGAAATTTATATTTTATATCCATTGGCTCCTGCAGCCAGTGAGGAGGGAGAGGGGCGAAGGACTTAGCCAAGCTACGTGTGTCCCACATACGGAGGCAGCACGGAAGCAATCATGCATGATTGCCCCCAGGGCAAGCAGCTTGCTCTGAGGGCACTCAGCATGAGGGAGGGGCCAGAATCACCAGCGGGGGACCCAAGAAGAGGAGGATTGGGGATGCTGTGTATGAAACCACCATTGATCACCAATGCCAGAAGTCTGCCAAACAAAATAGGTGAGCTGGAGGCATTGGTGCATGAAGAGAACCAATCTTGGTTTCCATTTTCCACATGATTGGGCTTTTAATATTCCTGGCTATGCTCTCTTTTGGAGATACAGGGTAAAACAGAAAGGTGTTGGTGTTTGTCTATGTATGAGAAGTGATTTCAAAGCTAATGTGAAAGAAGACCTAGTTGATGGAGAATGTGATGAG